CTCTCGCTCTCGCTCTAGCACGCGTGCGCGTACACACACACACACACACACACACACACACACACACACACACACTGCCTTCTGCCTATAAAACTGACCAGACAGGTAATTTTTTCAGGCTGGCTGCAAAGGGTCTTTCACCTTAACCCATCCATCCTGCACATAGAAAAGGAATTTGCTCTGCAATATTGCTCCCCAATATTTAGGTAAAGGGATAACAGAATTTCAACACACCCAAAGGTGAAGACCCTCCCTGGACTGTCAGGTGACTGAGGAGCCCACGGTCATGTGCAGTCTTCCATGAACACAAAGCTTGCTCTGGCAAGCCAGGCTGCTAGAATTTTCCAGGCTGACATCCTAGGGACAATCCAAGCAGATGATGTCATATTATCACAAGATTCCCAGCACCTAGCATCTGCTGGGGTCCTGTTTTCAGATTTAAGGAGCTGTCGTGAAGCGGCTACACTGAAATGTCAGCAGGGTTCAAAGGGGCCAAGGTCACTGGCACACTAGCCGCCTCTAGCTTAGGCTGCACCCCCAGTGACAGAAGTGGCATGGAGAAGGTGAAAGAGCACATACAGACTGAGGTGACCACAGACCCGGTGACAGCCAGCTGTCCACAGAATATAACTGCAAGAAACAGGAACTGACTGGATAACTAAAGTAAAAACGGAATTCACTGAAAGACTATGGTGACTGAGGAACCAGATTTGAAAGGACCGGGAGGAGCGTCTAATGGCGTCATCTAGGGTCGTATGCCCATCTCTTATGGAGTGTGGGGGAGACAGAATTCCTCCAAAAGCCAACCGGAAGGTGGGATGGATGGTAGGTAATCCTCAAGCAACAAATATCTACCACAGAATTCCTCCCAGGTACCCCACTCACTGTAACGGTGTGGCCTTAAACAAGTCACTTGGCCTCCCAGGCCCTTGGACTGTTTGTCCAATAAGCAGGAATAATACCTGTAAGGATAATGCCTCCCCGACTCATTACTGCGGCTCCCATGGTGCCCTTGGCCTCCAAGCATTAGAAATTTTGGGAACTGTGATTTGTTAGCAGGCTGTAAGTCTTCTATGTTGGACATGCAAGACGATCTGGAGGCTACGCACACAGGACGGCTGTCCTGCCAGGTTGTCTGTGGGCAGAGGTGCGTCCTGGAGAACGTGGGTCACATTGAGCTTAACTTGCCCCTGCCCTGGATGGGCACACAGTCCACGGACTGCAGGGGCGGGGCTGGGGGTGTTTCCAGAATAGAGGCAACATTTCTCTCAGGCAAATAACAGGGTGCAAAAAACTGTATACACATTTTAAGAAAGGAAAACTGCATTAAAGTTGTAATGCTCAGTATGTACTGATAACAAAAGATAACGAGTCACTTTGTATTCACAAAATGGAAGTTTGACTTCTGCAATTACAAGAGGTGCTCAAAGTGGTTCCCATCAGCGTCCAGACACTTCTGATTACGGTGAACTACTACTTGAGCAACGTTGACCAAAGTATCCACTTATATACATTTTTTTGGCACCCCCGCCCCGTACATTACTGAAGCACACTGAGAAGCCATGGTTTTTAACAAATACATGCACACCTCACATGTGGACTTCAACCAGCTTGTTAAGACCTGAACAGCCCAGAGAGCATGGGGAGCATCTTCTGAGAACCAAGCAGCTGGGATCTTAATCTCAGCAACCCTTCCTCCTGCTGAGAACACTGACCTTGAGTGAGGCCTCTGGAGACCTTGAAGCTTTGCCCAACTCAGAGAGAACGCGCTTCCTGAGTGGGTTTAGTTTTTGTTCTACTTCAGTTATCTCAACATTGGCAATTCTTGGGGCCCTGCCCAGAGTCAATGCTCAACCATACTTCCCACAGTTGCTCTCCTAATCAAACACAAATTCCCCGGAAAACTTCTTTCCCAGCTCTGCCGAATAAATGGCAACACGTGGGCCACTGTGTGTCCCCATGAGGATCACGTATGGTTTTGCACATAGCAATAAAGTGCACAACCCAGGACTTGGGCGGGGTGGCCAGAGTACTTGAACAAAAAGTCTGAAATTTAGAAAGCTTTAAAAGCTCCTTTTCTACCACCACCTGCAAAAAGTGCTTTTGTATAATAAAGGAGGGCTTAAATCTTGGGTCCCTTTCCTTTCACTCTCTTTAAAGTGATAAGAAGGAACAGAAGGGCTTGTAAACAGTATACTAATGTCAGGGAATAAGCACCGTCCACACCTTGAAAATGTGTTTTTCTCTTCAGGCACAGCCTGTTCCGGCGTATTTTCACACCATTTCTTCCTACATAATGCAGCCACGTCAACTCAGGCTTTGACCCACTTATTAAAAATTCTTAA